TCAGCCAGATCCATGTCCAGCTATCGCCCTCTTCGTTGTTGGCCTCATCTGTGGGAGATCCGGCCACACTCTCCAAATTGGAGAGCAGCCATATCAAGCCAACATGAAGATTCTTGTTCTTCAACACCTTTTGTGCTCCTATTCTCATCCTCTCACGATGCTCGAGCTCTCTGTTCTCCTCATGTCCAACTCGATCGCCGGCACTGTTGATCATCTTCAGCATGTATAACAGGCCAACAGTCGTTTCTTGTTAGGCCTTTTGCGCCGATGTCAGCGGAGTTCAACTCTGTTGGTATTGGGCTCACTGCCAGGGTTTTGTCTTTCTCCTTCTGCTGGATCCATAGCAGGGCGGCGTCCATGTGTCTGACCCTGCCAATGCCTTGCCTCTGGACCATGGAGCGTGCTGCAGAGCTGTCTGACCTCACCTTGATCTCGCATGGTTCATCCACCATCTTAATCCACAGATGCCGAACAAGTAGTCCATCAGAGCACCCTCCAACCATGGAGACAAACTCTGCTTCACCTGATGACAATGAGATTGACTTCTGAGATCGAACCCTTGACTCCATCAAGTTTCCGTCCAGCAGAATCTGGAACGAGGATGCGCTCTTACGGTCATTCCTGTTTCCAGCACAGTCGCTGTCACATGCCACTTCCAACAGGCGCTTCTCCTTGTCCTCTGCTTCGTCAGCCTCTCTCACATCCATCACTGTCTGTCCCTTGGCTCTTGACGACAACCTCACTCCGAAGCGTCTTGCCATAAACTTTGCCAAGCTCTGAATGGCGAATTGGGCGTCTGGTCTTTCACCTGCTAGGTACATCAAGCGGCCCACCACACTTCTCTAGCGGGTGATGTCTTCACCCTGCAGTTCTCCATTGTCGTCCTTCTTGCTGAACTCTTGATTTGTGGGCGTCTTTCTGTAGGCCTTCTTGAAGATGTCCACATCTTTGGCCAAACTTTAATATTGTCTGTAATCACATCTGATGTCACACCATTCGTCATACAGCACAAACTTTCTCTTCAAGTAGTGAAAGGTCTCACCGCTGCGGAATGGGCCCTTCTCCTCAACACTCCATTTCATTTCCTCCTTGAGGTAGTTCACGAAGGCCCTCAAATTCTTTTCTTTTCCCACCATGAAGACATCGTCGACGTGCACGGTGATATAGATCTCCTTTGTCTTCATGAGTAAAGTGGGTTGCATGACATCCTGATCAAGTCCAAAGTCCTTTGCTGCTCTTGCAAACAGCTGGAACCATTGGGATGCTGCCGTCGTGCGCCTCAATGGCTTGAATCCCAGCGTACTGTGGTGGATAAAGTCTGGGAATTCTGCTGGGAGAGGAACTTGCAATCTGCTCACCTTCACTCTCTCTTGGTCTTGTCGAACTCGCTCCTGTTGCTCCTTCTCTCTCTTCAGCCTCACCTTCTTCTGTTCTCTGCTCCTTTTCCTTTTCTTCGTGATCTTCGCGCTGTGTCTCCCTTTTCTCACGCACTCTTCCAGGCGAGTCTTCTTCATCATGTCGTTTTGCCTCAGGCTCATCTTGCGCCTCTTCTGCGTTTCTCTTTCCTCGATGGCAGCTTTGGTTGTCCCAACGTCTGTGGTCTCCTGTACTGCTCCTCATACAGCTTGTTGGCAATGCTGAGCTTCATCTGGTTTTCCAGGTTGATACGGAATGCCATCAACCGATCCAGCAAGCGTCGTTTGCTGCCGCTGTACGGGAGTTCTCGCTCTTTGCATGCCATTTGCAGCTCTTTGACTGTTGTCTTGTCCACTTCATCAAGCTCCACGGTCTTGCTGCCACAACCATCTTCTCAATATCTTTGGCGTCCATCTGCATCTCCAACTCTTCATCCTCCTCTCTGTCATCTTCTGACCAGTCCAACCTCCCCTCGGCTTCTCTTGTTCTCTCCTCAGGGAATGGTTTCTTTGGCACTTCTGAGTCGGGTTCCCAATAGTCTTCCATCATTGATGGGGCAAAGAAACTGATTGCGCGAACTGGTCCTCCAAGTCGAATCCTCCGGAACGCTGCTTCTCCCAAAGACATGTAATCCTCTTCGTTCTCCACTTGCGTCCACATCCCATCGTTGTCTTTGACCAAAGTCAATCAAGACCTCCACTTGTCCTCGATTTGGCCTCGTGGATCCGCAAGTGATGTTGCGGTTGGATCGCTATAAGCAACTATGCCATTGGAAGCCGGCGCCAACCCGGCGCCATTTCCAGATCTTGGATGCGCTTGCTTGGTGTCCCTCTCAATGCCAACACTCTTGACTCCTCTTCTGCTGCTCTCTGAGTCTCCTCAATGTCGATCACATAGATGTGAGCAGAGAATTGCAGCGAATTTCTCTCGTTGCTAATTGGGACTCACACCTGCTTCTCCTCATGTCGTAGGTCCAGACTGTCTCCTGCGCTGTTGATACTCCAGCCCTTACGAAGTAGCTTGCCAGCACACTAGATCGGGCGCTGGACATTTCCCAGCACGAACTCCTCAAGCAATTCAATCTGTCTGCCACTGCTGTCCATTGTACGTACCCTGGCTTTTGTAGTGCCACTGCGCTCAATCTTTCTGCCCTGAGCATCCACCATCCTCAGCGGCTTTGAGCCTTCTGACCATCTTCCTACTCCCGCATAGGACTTTGGGAGCACTGATACATCCGCACCACTGTCCAAGGTGACCATACAGGATGCACACTCGCTTTCATTGGTCCTCACCATCTGCACCACCTTCTCATCTTTATCGTCCTGCAAGTCCATGGCCACAACAGCAATGCCATCCGGAACTAGCACCACCGGCTCTATGCAGTCCATGAACTCTTCAACGCCACTCCATCCTTCCTTTGCGTCCTCAAACTCTTTCTCCGTGAGCTCAAATCTGATCGTGCCAACACGCCATGGTGGCGTTGACACCTCATCTGATCCTCTGGGCGTCTTCAGGTCGAAGATCTCCAATGACCTAGATTCGGGCGGCGTCTCCAGTCGAACCATCTTCACACTGGATGTAGTCACTGTTGGCCCTCCTTTGGCCCCATGAAGGGTTGCTCCACCGGGGTTTGCTCCAGTAGGCGATTGCTCCTCCACTTGACTCACCTGAGCACGTTTTGGTGCCCAGCAGTCCTTGGCATAATGGCCAACCTTGCCACAATTGTGACAGGCTCCTGCCTTCCCTTTTGCGCCCTTCTCAGGCGTCTTGCCTTTCTTTCCAAAGCCTCCTTTCTCCCATAGAGACTTTCCTTTGTCGCCACTCCTCCATGACCCCTTGCCATCGGTCTTCGCCTTTCCTTTCTCCTTTCCCTTTGGTTTGCCCTTCTGATCTTTGCTCTTATTACCTTTTCCTCCTTTCTTCCCTTTATCCCCACGGATGTAGTCAACTTCCATGGGCGTCGCCTCATCCATGCCAGCACAAGTTGGCATGCTCAGACTGTTGGAACTGTCCCACCGAGTAGATAGGGCTTCCAATTCCATCACCTTGTTCTTCACCTGCTCATACGTGGTCTCATCACTGATCCACAGCTGTAGATGGGCTCGTAGGTGAGGTGGGACTGCTTGCAGAATTGATGCCACCTTTGCATCGTCCGCGTAGGTGTGCCCTGAGATCCTTTCATACTCTGTGATGATGGTCTCATATTGTGGTAGTTGCTCAGAGATCGTCTTGCCCTCTGCAAACTGGACCCTCGACAATTGGGTCAGCAAGGCTAAGGCTCTTGCACGAGTAGCTGGTTGCATCTCTCTCAACAACCGTTGCCAGGCCTCGAAGCCGTTCTCGGCCTTGATGCGCCTCACCAACTTCAAAGGACGATTCCTCAAGTAGCTGGTGAGAACAGCATACAATCGCACAGCCATGGCCTTGGTCTCATCCGTCATGTCGTCGACGTTGAAGTCACCATTCAAATTGTCTTCAACCATTTTCATGCTGTTCGCCATGTTGGGCTCAATGCTCTTCACATAGTTGATGAAGCCGAACTTCCAATCATTCCACTGCTTCAGCTCTTGATCTCGAGTGTCCGGCTTGAAGATGTCTGGAGTCTTTACACGTCTTGACCATGCAGCCGCACTCTGATGCACTGTCAGCCTCTCCAAAGCTTGTGAAATCTGTCGTAGGCTCTCCTCTGCCATGTTCCTGATGTAGGGAATGTAGGGGCAGAAAACCTTCGTGTCCACCTTTGGTATGGGCTCGTTCGCTTGTTCGAGATGTAATCCTGCGTAGCCGGCCAAGCTAACTAAATCCCAGTTAGCCAAAAGCTCACAGGCCTCCTCTTTTGTTGTCTCGTCTCTGAATCTCTCCGCTCTTTTGATGAATTTCCAAGTGGCCGGGACAATCACCACCAGACACTTCCTTTTCTTCTTCTTGTTCTTTCCACTGCCACGCTCTTGTAAATGCAGCGAGGCCTTGACACTCTTCTCGCTCCTGGCCCAAATCAACCTACCCACAGTTGTCGCTGTCCACCACCACCGTGTGATAGTACCGAATGCTCTTCTTTCCAGCCAGAGGAACCACGGTGCCTGGAAGGTAATAGTTTACCTCTTGCGTCCAATGATCCCCAGCAGGTCCTGCAATGCAGGCCAACAAAAGCAGTTCGGTCACCCAGAAACCTGTAGAGCTTGCGCCCTTGGCCGAGCGCCTATGGCGGCACGGAATCGTGGTGGCGATACGTGGGTAGCGGAGGCCGGCACTTACGACCAGCGCTCCGCTACCATGCGAAGCGTGCGAGCTGTTTTCACACCGCTTGGGCCTATGCGTCGGATGTCTCGATTTGTGCGTGTCATGTGTGGGTGACTGACTCTTCCATGATTTCTGACAGTAAAACATGCATAAATCTGCAGCGTACCCCGTGAGTCAACTTCTTGCGGTGTGGCAAGAAAATAGACCAATGATTCAGGACAACATCCAAGCCTAAACAGGACAGAAAAACAAATTGAACCATCCAGGACGTGATTGTTTAGGTCACTTTTGGCAACCATAGTATAGCAACCATGAACAAATTCATTGCCATGAAGTTTTCAGGCCTTCGCATAGCCACTTCCCTTTTTGTTAGCTCCCTTCATTTGAGAGTTGGCTTCTTCCTCTTGTCTTTCAAGTTCCTGGAAACCAAGAATGAGGTAAGGATCACTACGGATTCTGGATTGAATCCTAGGTTGGGATTGCTGCCCGTTCAGGCCGTGCTGCCTTAAGTTCGGCTTTGGCCGCCAGCTTGGCATCAGCCTGGCACAATTCTCGGACAACGAGTTCTTCTTACGAGTATACAATTGAGATGACCCCTAATTGAGCTCGGCCCCATGGTGTAGGCCGATTAAATGAACCCTTGACAAGGGTTGGGGGTGAATGAAAAAGGTCGATGATTAATCAGTTCAACTGATTGTTGATTGATTGATGGGTTTGCACTTAAGTAACTCCTCGTTGCACGTGGTTTTCAGGAACACTCAGCGCAACTGAATTCAACGTTTGATCTTTGTTGGTTTCTGATCTCCTGCAGAAGAGGGATGACAGTGAGCCGGGCAAGCAAGGGTGGAGGAGAGCGCAGAAAAAAAAAAGAGAGACAGAGAGAGAGCGAGAGAGAGAGAGAGAGCGAGAGCGAGCGAGAGAGAGAGAGAGAGAGCGAGAGAGAGAGAGAGAGCGCGCCCTTCCGCAAGAGCAGACCTCCAACTACGCATCACCTGAAGCTTGAGACGGGCGTCGCCATCGAAGTTACAGAAACATAGTTTGTCCACTGCGCTACTTCTCCTGTTTGTACTCCGCCTCGTATACTGCGTGAGAAACTTTTGAATAGGGCAAATACAGGAATTGGGATAAGCTGAGCTTGCAAGCTGAGTGGAGAGTAGTGGGAGGGTGACAAGGGATAGAAGTCAGAAAGCAACACCCTTTTTCGTATGTGTGTTAACTATGTTCTAAGTGCTTTTTCTATACATCCTAAGAAGGAGCTACAGTATGTTGAACAAATGTGCGTCCTGCTTTTCCCCCTTTTCCTGTCCTCTGCCAATGTAGCGCCCTGCACTGTAGACTACGGGCTCCTTCCTTAGCACTTTGTGCTTCATACTCTTTACCATTAAGCGTGATACTATACACAAGGGTGAAGTAGGGTAGAGCTGGCATCGAGTAGACAGTGTCGACAGGAGGTCGTTATAATATACGTAAAGGTCTCCATATACACCACTTGCTCATGATATTTCACAACCAGTGATAATCAAGGGATCTTGGCTTGCCAGCTCTTGCCTTCACGATTCTGAATCTATTCCAGCATTCCAAGTGTCCAGGGTCCACAAGGGTTGCAGAATTCATCGCAATTTCAAGGTTCCATGGGATGCCATGGCATGCATTCGATAGTTCAGGCACTACTCCGCAAAGGATTATAGCTGAGATTTGCTGGACTCCAGAGGCCTTGGCTGCTGCATCTGCAGCTCTTTGTGCCTTTTTGACTGTGCCTGGCACATGGTCCAACAAAGCCGATTCTATTGGCTCAATTTCCTTCGCTTTATGAACTTCATGAACACTGCACAAGATTGGCATTGACCGTGGACCATCAACTGTCTATTGTCTTGGTTCGATCTCGTGCCTTTGTCTGTTTCCTGCCAAGAAGCATCTTCAGCTGCTTGCTTTGCAGCCTCTTGTCCAATTCCGATTGAGTTCAAGATGGATTTACAATCGGATGGCCAATCCCATGGCCTTAGCTCACAAATCACCCAAATATGCTGGGCCTCATCTTTGGCCTTTGCGGCGGCTGCTTTCTTGTCCTTTGCGCTTGCATCACCAAAGCCTCAGCCACATTGTTGCAGCAAGTGGATTCCTATTGAAGGCAAACTGCTAAGGCTGCACCTCTTGACAGAAATCTCTTTACTGGGTGCCAGGCCCATGCTCAGGTGTTGTAAGGCTCTACAAAATTAGGACCAGCCTGGAGGTCCGAACTAAAGGCTAAACATCTTATGAAAATTACCCATGCTAGCCCGGGCTGGTGTGCAGCCTGCAACCAAAGGTCGAATGAATTCTTGGAAGAACAAAGTTGCTGAAGGACGGATCATACATCTTTCAATTTCAACAAGTGGAACGAAGTTGTTTCTCGATATACAATGCACCATAATGCCAATTGTATACAGTATACAAATTGCAATGCCACCATCATCCTCCCACTCTGCAAATGCCTTTTACTTTCTACAGTCCATTATACTAGAGGACATCACTTCAATCAACCTGCTCTTTTGCACTCACGTACTGTGTTCGCGCTTGTCCAGACCCAATCCTGCACAGTTGCTCGCTTGGAGTCTGACACTGAAACACCCCGCCCCGTTTGACATCCTTTGGGTCGTGGCACTGAGGAATTGTTTGACAAGTTGAAATAAGCGCCCAGCACTGGAGCGAGGTGTCGCAGGAAAGGAATAGAAACAGGATTGCTCAAAGGCTTTGATGTGGTTTCTTTAACCAATCCGCCTCTGCCATGTTTGCATGGCAAGGCACAAGTGCAGTTGCCGAATGGTAGGCATCAAAAGGCCAACATACTATCATTCTGAAAACTAGGCTGCTGCACCAAAAACAGAGCAAACTAGCGGCCCGGTTGCGTTATCTGCCATTCATCTTGAAGCATCTAAACTGTTTTCCTGAATTGGGACCCTTGTTGCTCAGGACGCAGGACCTCGGAAACCACGGTCTTCAACAACAGCAACCATGACATTGAAATCGCAGTTTCATCAAAATCAGCTGGACACCACCGCTCTTCAAACCGTCGAACAGTTTGAACGGGTCAAAGCCGAGCGAGTACTCCCAGTTCCACCTCAATATGAAAAGCTGGCATTGTCTAGTAGGCCAGCAGGTCCATGGGTAAAAATGCTTGCAGCGACTGAAGGCCACACTCTGAGAAAGCGAAAATGTTGTCAAAAAAATCATACAAGGTGAAGTCACCACCAGTTCTATCCTGAAGCAAGTTGACTACAGGTCAAAGTAGGAGTCAGGTCAATCTTCTGTGAAACAGTCTTCGGGTGGTGGTCATGTCAGGAAACATGTTAGGCAATTAGCAATGTAGGTGCTTTTTGCATCCACAGCAAAGCTGTGACTACAACTACTCTGCGTCACAAAACTTGCATTCAACTGCCAGAAACACTTCTCCTGGATGCGCCCCTGCGTGACTCCGATGATACCTTGAAGCAACCGTACTAACATTGGCACTAACGCAAAGCACGCCAACCCCTTTTTCAAAGGGGTTGTCACCACAGTGCTGCCGGCAGAACATCAGGTTGAGATGCTTAAATTGCTTAGGATTGGATAGATGTTGTATGGCACATCGGCTTTTGTGCCCGCAGCTGTGGCTCATCGTCAACAACGATGACCAGAGCACGCTGCAGCAAAGGTGATTGCAGTTTCCACTTTTGCTACTAATGTTATATATATATATATATATGTGTGTGTTAGCATTGAATCAGTACTCGGCTGGAAATGCAGGATGGCTTTCAGCGGGGAGTGAGAGGAAGGAAAGTGAGTTCGTTGCCATGAAGTGAAATGAAATAGATTTGGGTTCCACTTGTACAACCACGCTGTACCAGCAAAACGCCGCCGCACTTTACACACTCACAGAAACAAAATGGGTTGCTGTGGTATACCTCGAAGTGGCAGCGCGCAACATTCCCACCATAAAATGCTGATGGAGTGGTTCCGGCGTATTTATCATATCCTATAATCCCCCTCCGAGTTGCGGGGTCAGGTTCGGTGTTTCAATGTTGCAGACGTGTTTCACACTGTTGAGCAAATTCAATTGTGTTGCGGCCGCTGCCATATTCAAGTTTTGATGATCCATTTCCATTTATTGCGTGTTTTTGGTAGCATTTTTTGCCTGCGTTGATTTCTATATTGGTGGAACACATTCTTTGGAACATGTGAGGCTAATAGCAGGTGCAACAACGTGGGTTAACTCCCGTCGCCTAAACTGAAAGCAAACATCCTGAAATATGTTGCTGCAGAACCTCTAATGTTTGACCTTGATGGGTCGCGCTATCCACTGTTTCATGGTTTTCCGTGAACTGTCCCAAGTTTGTGCCCTGCACGTTGCAACGCATTCTTGGCTATCACGCAGTAAATAAACATGTTTGTTCACATGAAACACCTCTCTCCAGTAAATAACTGCGGCGTAGCATGTGATGCAAACATTGCTAGCCCACCCCACGCTTCACACCTCATGCTGCACACTCCAAATGTATTTACTGCACCACACACACACTCCACCCCACCCTGCAAATTCAAAACTACAGCCAACATCCCATTCATTTCGAACCCACACGCACTTTTAGCCAAACAGCGCTTCGGCGGAGCAGAATAAAACTAGCATACAATGAAGTGACATAGCTGGACACCCCGCCTTGGCTTGAAACGTTTTAGTTTCAATCCATCTTCTACACCGAAACCTGCAATCGAAAATGCGGCGCTGACAAGGTCTTTCGATCTGTATTCTGCCAATTCCCATGTGAAAGGAATCACTCATTCTGCTGATAGGTGCAATTGTCGTAAATATGCACCTTTTCGTTGCGGGAAAAGTATTGTCTCAACCGTCGTATGCTACCCTGGCTGTTCAGCTGGTTACACCAGGAATGCTCACGCACGCACACATTTCTTTGCCTTTTTTGCTTCACTGCTTATCTCCGGTTCTGCTGAGGTGTAACTTGCCAATACTCCAGGCCAGAATCCTCTGACACTGTTGACTTCATATATCTACGAATATGCGCTGACAGTGACTTGCCTTCGTCCTCACTTTCTCCACATGCCGAAGACTGAGTCAGGAGAAAGATCTGTCATGTCGCAGCGGAAAATTTGTGCTCGACGCCGCTACGCCCAAATGTTCCAGCGTTGTCAAAGTCAGACTCGAAATCCTCTGCCGGTCTCCTTTGCGCAGCGCTCATTGAAGAACCTCTTCGCCTCAATCTGCCATTCAATTCGCCCAACGACCAATAAATGAACTATGCGTAGGCGGCAACCTAGGCGGCTGCGCGTGACCGACAGAGACAGGAAGAGGAAGTCTTAGAGCATTTGTTTTCAGAAAGGCTCCACAAACAGCAGGACAGAACGTTTCACGCAGCTTGAGCACAGATAGGCGAGAAGTGGTTGAAGTGCGCAGCTTTGACCTCAGCCATGAGATCTCCTTCCCCTCCACTTACAAGGCAAGCTTCCGCATTGAAGTACCCGTATGGTGCAATGTGGAGACAGCAAAGGTGCCAGACAGCCATAACGGCCACAGCAGCCACGATGCAGGAAGCAATGGTGACACGGAGGTCGATCCTGTTCAAACACTCACCGAACCAGTTCTCCCGGTGACAAACATAGCAACTCCACCTTCGCCTGCTGACGTAACCGATGAAGCTGAGCAAGCGGACGAAACTTACCTTGTCCCGGAAGGAAATGGACGTTTCCTGTTCCGTCGAGGTCTCCTCAAAGGAGCAGCGCGCACTTTTGAAGTACGCAGTGCAGGAAACAAATATGAAGTCATTGCTGCGTGGCTCGCAAGCATCGTGCACATTGCTCGTTGGGTTGTCGATACGTGTTGCAACATTGCTTAAAGGCAAGAACCAAGAAAAACTGAGGCTGGACCTGGTGCCTGGTGAGAATGCGCAAGTGGTTGAGGCGGCGACATTTTTGATTTACTTTGCCATCCACGTCATGAACCCCAAATCTCCTTGACCCGCATTCCTTCTGGTCCTGCAGACTCACACAGGCTGAGGGATGGTCTTCTGTGTTTGGATGTAGGTCAACACAACAATGTTGCACTTCTTCGATCGCTTCCTCCAACCCAATCCAAACCGCAGAAAACTTCAACGCAATAAACTCCTTTTGTCTGCCCATCCATTCCGCTCAGAATTGCTATCAGCTTCGTGCCAACTTTGGTGTAAGGCAAACTAAACCGCATGTAACGTGTCTCAGCAAGATACTGAAGGGCGCACGCCTATGCGGTATAGGCCCCAACGAAATTGCTTGTCCTTCTTGGTCCAACTCACCTGGAATTCGCGCTTGGGGCTCTTAGACCACGGGGAGCGGAGACTCTTGCAAAACTCCTGCCCTTGCAAGCTTGGACTTTGTCCATGGGCTCGTAGCCATGGCTCAGACAACATCCAACCTCCACGGTAACCACAGGAAAAAAACGAAAACAAATGCCCAAACCAGTTGGAATGGGGATGCGTTGATGGCAGCACCCTCTTGAAGGGGCGCAACGGAAAACAACCGCGCGTCAACGACCAAGCTCTTGGCGGCCTCAACTGAAATCACCAACGCGGACGCCTGTCTCTTGGATGTCTGAATGAACCTCGCGCCTCCGGCCGTTCGCCCTTGGCGGCTTGCCCAATGACCTTTCCGCCTTGCCAAGCCGGATTGAAATGGCCATGCCCTACAAACCTAAGGCCCTCAGGTAACAGGCCCAGCGTCCATCACAAAACAACAATCGTCTATGTGGGCGCTCTGCAAGAAGTTGTTTGGTCCGAGTGGGACACACACCGCTGAACCTTGCTCCTACATCACGCGTTATTAGAGCAGGGCAGCTCCTGCCCAACTACAACCAGTCCATTTAAACGCACGGAACTCCAGAGTCTTGCTTTGATTTGGGCTGAATGGTCTTTTCTCGATTTGGTTGCGACGCACACATCGCACCATCTGGCAAACGGAAGATGAGTCGCTTCACGCCGATCGGCCTATCAATGTCCACTTGCTTCTCTAGTTTCTCCTGCTCTGAGGTCCTGCTACTTGTCTTTCAAATGATGCCTTGCTCCTTTCCAAATCTTTCCGGTTCTTTTTCTCCTCTTTGAACCGCCTTGATTGATCCCGAAGGAACAGCGCTTGCTGTTGCGCGGCTTGGGTATGATCTAGAATGATCCTTGACCACACTTGGCTGCACTGACCTCCACGGTAACTCTGTTATTGGGACATCATCTCCCCAATGCCCCACCTGTCCACAAACCGAGGACGGCGCCGAACTGTATCCTTGTCATTATTTTCCGTTTCCTTTGTATCCTACTTCCCCGCCCTTTCTCACCTTTCCTTCCTTGGCCTTTGCCCTTCAACCTTTCACCAGATTAACATCCATAGGAGCCGGACCGCCTGGTCCGGTGTCCTTTGTAATGCCTTGTCGCTTGCCGGGACTTGCAACCTGTTTCAACACATCATTCATTGTCCATGCTCTGCTTGAGCGTACATAGGAGAGGCTTCTTACTTTCATGTCCTTGTATGTAGAGGCATCTCCAACTGAAAATGTCAAGCGTTGCCTGATCGATTCTGGGCAAACCCTCGCCAAATCTCCACGAAGAACGTCACGATCAGACGGTTTGGGGGTTACCTCTGGGGTCTCCAGGGCTTCGCTACCATGTTAAACATGGAACCCGCGCGCACTTGGAGCAAAGTTTTCAACTAGCATGCAATGAAGTGACATAAGTTGGGCTTCGCCCCGGCACAGTAACAGTGACCACAAATCATACCAAAAAAACACAGCAGCTTTGCCATGTGCATTAGGACGACTTTCATTTGCCTTTTAACGCTGGCTACAATAGTCATGTACCACAAACCCCTCAAGTGAATCGGGTGCCCATTTTCATCTGAGCGCATCCACTCGCAAAATGATCGAAAATCCATTCCAAATGGTCTGGCCAAAACATCCTATGGCAGGCCTGGTAGAAAGGTTCCAGGCCTGGGGGCCCGCTCCTTTTTGTTCTAATTTTGTGGTATGATTTGCGGTCACGTTTGTGGTGTTTTTGTTGTGTGACTTGTCGCTTTTTTGTGGTTTTTGTCGTATGATTTGTGGTCGCGCTTGTGTTTTTGTTGAATTTTGGGGTAGGATTTTTGGTGGCATTTGTGGTTTTTGCGGTATGACTTGTGGTCTTTTGTGTCTTTTTGTGGTATGGTTTGCGGTCGCGTTTGTGGATTTTTCGCAGTATGACTTTGTGTGTTTGTGGATTTTTTGTGGTATGATTTGTCGCTTTTTTGCTATAAAATCAAAGGGGAGTGGCAGGAGAAAAGGCCGCGCGCATTGATTTTGTCACTTTTGTGGCATGGTTTGTGGTCGCGTTTGTGGATATTTTGTGGTCTGACTTGTGGTTTTTTGTCGTATGATTTGTGGTCGCGTTTGTGGTTTGTTGTGGTATGACTTGGTTTTTTGTGGTATGATTTGTGGTCACGTTTGTTTTTTTTTTGGTCTGTCTGACGTGTGGTTTTTTGTGGTATGATTTGCGGTCGCGTTTGTGGATTTTTTGTGGAGTGACTTGTGGTGTTTTTGTGGTATGATTTGTAGTCGCGTTCATGGTTTTTTGTGGTATGACTTGTGGTTTTTTGTTGTCTTTTTGTGGTATGATTGTGGTCCAGGGCGGAAGACAACCACAAATCAAATCACTGACAAAAAAGCACAAAAAATGCTCAGGAAATTTGGGTCGGAAGCCGTGGGAAGCGGGGAGCCAGGGCCAATTTGGACTTGGCTCTCATCCTGCTCCCAGTGTAATCACAGTCTTCCTTACATGAACAAAGGTTAATCTTGTGTTAAGTAGGGTCAATCGTGCCACTTGGGGCTGACCAAGTAGTGAAGGGATGATGTTGGTTGTTGTTTGTTTGCAAATATGTTCTGATTTGCGTTCTTTAAAGTTGACCCGCCCGCTGATCCAATCATTTTGCATTTCCTAGACCAGAACCCGCCCACTGATCCAATCATTTGCATTTCATAGACCAGAAATTGCAATCCAATTTCCCTAAATTACTTTGCGTATGATTGCGGCTTTTGGTGGTATGGTTGAAGGGCCCTGGCCCTTTACGACTGTTACTGGGGGGGGGGGGGCAGGGCCCAAGACATAAGTTATGTCACATAACTTCACACCTTAGCTCTTACTCAGAGCTATTGTCTTGAAGAGTCCAACGCTCAACTTGCGCTTTGTGAAGCCCGGAGCTAGGAGGTTGCAAAACCCTTCCAATGAGTTGTGACTGTTGCCAACAATAATTGAAGTTCGGAACCATTGAAAGCGATTCAACAGTGTCTGAACGAAGCCGGCGGTGAACAACCCTCAACAAACCAACCGACAAATCTAAGCAAGGCCAAGGTGCTGGAACCAAATGAATAAACAATCAAAGACACCCAAAACCTCAAGCAAGGCAAGGCAAGGGGCAAATAAGGACTGGCTGCTACAGCAAAAGGGAAAAGACTTGTGAACCTGGGTTCCAGGCACAGTGACCAAAATGTTGAAATCAAAGCCTCCTTCCTGCACCGTCCACTCGTCACACTCAATAAAGCTGCACCTGACAGCTTGTTTGAGCCGCCTCTTTCGTGTCGGTCTTGGCAGCTGGTGAAGCACCACCCTCCTCAAGACGAACAAGAAACCACCCGCGTGGTATGCAATCGAGCGCTCGCACTGAATGCGCTGAGAGGCGTAATTGCATGAGTCGCGAACACTGAGCCGCGAAGGGCGCATTTTGTTTTGGCGCGGAAACGCATACCCTACATCATCAGGTGAGTCTGGAGGGGCAATGGTGGCAGTTGCAAGAAGCCTGCAAAAAACACAGTGACAATGGAAGGGTGTGCAAAATTTCATGTGGAAGCGGGTTTCGTTTTGCTGCGCTTCCCGCCACGCAGCGTCCGCATGAACTGACTGTGATTTGCCAAACACCAACTGAATAGGACAGCCAAGGAAACAGGCCAAGGTGTAGGTAAGGTGGTCTACCCGCGACCCAGTCGCCCAAATGGAAGCGACTCCAACGTGTAAGTGGCCCCAACCCTGCGGGTCTCCAATCTCCAGAAGGTTTGACTGCAATGATGGACTTGACGCAACGGCTGGAAACTTGTTCTAATGACAGGAAGCGTACGGAAACGATTGCCTCAAGCCACACGGCAACCTGAATGAAAAA